AGCATGTGTCAGAATTCCCCTCCTTTTGAAGGCTGAATAATATTCCATTGTGTGTATACCGCATTTTGTTTATCCATTTGCCCATCAATGGGCATTTGGGTTGCTTTTTTTGGCTCTTGTGAATGATGCACTGTGAACATGGGTGCACAAATATCTCTTCAAGACCATGCTTTCAATTCTCTTGGGTATACACCCAGAAGTGGAATTGATAAATCACATGGTAATTTTTTTTTGAGACAGAATCTTGCTCTGTTGCCAGGCTGGAGTGCAGTGGCACAATCAGAGCTCACTGCAGCCTTGATTTTCTGAGCTCAAGTGATCCTCTTGCTTCAGCCTTCCGAGCTTCTGGGACTAAAGGTGTGTGCCACCATGCCTGGCTAATTTTTTTTTTTTTTTTTTCTGGTTGTGCTTGAAGAGAATATATATTCTTTGCTCACTGCAAGCTCCGCCTCCCGGGTTCACGCCATTCTCCTGCCTCAGCCTCCCGAGTAGCTGGGACTACAGGCGCCCGCCACCTCGCCCGGCTAGTTTTTTGTATTTTTAGTAGAGACGGGGTTTCACCGTGTTAGCCAGGATGGTCTCGATCTCCTGACCTCGTGATCCACCCGCCTTGGCCTCCCAAAGTGCTGGGATTACAGGCTTGAGCCACCGCGCCCGGCGAGCATCCAACTTTTTATGACTTAACTCATGACCTGGCAATTTTTGCAGCAAGGAACATGGGCTGGTGGTTTTAGGACAACTGAGTGAAAAGAAAGAAATACATTAACTAGATTGGATGCCTAGTGCCTGCTGGTCGTGGGTGTTTTCTGCTGGCCCCTGTTCATCTGTGCCTGTTAGCCCACCCATGGGTGAGTGGGGCAAAGTGGCCAAACTGATTCTCAAGAGAGGCATACATACAGAATCCAAGTTAGTCATGATTTCGTTTCTAGCCTGAGTGAATGTGTACATTTTATAAACTTGATCAGCTCAGAGGGAAAAAGCTGTCTCCACACAACATGGTTTATACAAACCTGTCAGGAATTCAGCATGACGAAGAAATGCACAAAACAAGTGTGAACAGATAAGTAAAAGGATCTACTGAAAATCTTCAGGATAGTATATAGTGTGACATGACCAAGAATTTGAAGTCAACGTCTGTATTTGTGCCCTCTGGACAAGGGTTTTATACCTGATGATATGAAAATTAATTCTGGGTCGGGCGTGGTGGCTCATGCCTGTAATCCCAGCACTTTGGGAGGCTGAGGAGGGTGAATCACCTGACATCAGGAGTTGCAGACCAACCTATATCAACTAATAATACAAAAAAAATTAGCCAGACGTGGGTGGCATGCACCTGTAATCCCAGCTACTCAGGAGGCTGAGGCAAGAGAACTGCTTGAACCTGGAGGTTGCAGTGAGCTGAGATTGCACCACTGCACTCCAGCCTGGGTGACAGAGTGAGACGCCATCTCAAAAAATAATAATAATAATAATTTTGAGGCCAGATGCAGTGGCTGCAGGTGTGGTGGTTCATACCTGTAATTCCAGTACTTTGGGAGGCCAGAGGATTGCTTGAACCCAAGAATTCGAGATCAGCCTGAGCAACATAGTGAGACTCCATCTGTAGAAAACAAACAAACAAACAACAACAAAAAACCAGAGGTGGGAGGATCACTTGAGGCCAGGAGTTCGAGGCCGCAGTGAGCTATGGTCATGTCACTGCCCTCTAGCTTGGGCAACAGTGCGAGACTCTGTCTCGTAACAACAACAACAAAAAAAATTAATTCTACTTTAACTGTCAGTTTCATGATATCTTTCCATCAAGAAAAACCTTTTCTATCTGATGAACTATTGGCTAGGTTTTCTTTTTCTCTGCTTTAGACTAATTCATTTAATTACTTTCATTTGCAAACTCTACCCTTCTTATCAACGTTGTATTTTAGATGTGTCTATTGACAGCCTGGCTTCCCTCAGCGATCATTGTGATGATGAAAGTAGATGAATAGGTAAAATTCAATGCAAATATTCCAGGGTATCTAATCCATACCCCAAACGGAAAAGGGGAGAATTGGAAGCAGGCAACTTGAATACATTACTATGGATGTATTTTTCTCATGCAGGGGGGAAAAAGTGATTTGGAGAGAGAGAATTATGAATGCATGTGAAGAATAAAGCCAAATTTCCCGGGAGGAGGGGAAGACCAGGAGAAACAAAACCAAAATCCTGACTGTGGCCTCTAAGGCATGGGGACATGGAGTTGTGCTCTCCAGCAGACACAGTTCATTCTGGAGAAAGGCTGCAAAAATATTCTCCTTCACACTGATTTGAAAACAATTACATAAATTTGTTGTTTTCTTATTTATCTAAGTGTAACTTTTAAAAACGTACTGAGAGAAGATGAGCATGGTGTCTCACTCCTGTAATCCAGTACTTTGGGAGGTCAAGGCAGGTGGATCACGTATGGTCAGGAGTTCGAGACCAGCCTGGCCAATATGGCAAAACCCCGTCTCTATTAAAAATACAAAAATTAGCTGGGCATGGTGGTGTGTGCCTGTAATCCCAGCTACTCCACAGGCTGAGACAGGAGAATCGCTTGAACCCGGGAGGCGGAGGTTGCAGTGAAACGAGATTGCGCTACTGCTCTCCAGCCTGGGTGATAGAGCAGGACTCCATCTCAAAATAAAAATTAATTAATTAATTAATTAATTAAAAATTTACTGAGAGCTGGTGGTCCTTTTAAGGGTGGAGCTGCCATCAAGTCCCCGGAGGATGCACTGAATTTGGGGGCATCACCTTTAGCTGCTGTGGACTCCGAGCCTTGGCAGCTCCCACTCCAGGCCTGGGAGAAAGATGATTTCCTGGCAGCGTGCGGTGATTGTGAGCATTTGACTATCTTACTGCAGTTTTCCCTTTTCACTGCTCTCCAAAAATGAGTGGAAAACAAAAAATTTTGCTGAGACAAGCGATAATATGAGTTAGGCAAAGTTGGAGAATTTTACAGTTGCTGATATCAGCAAATTGTGAGTTTCAAACACTGCTTACAGAAGGAAGCCCAAAATTAAAGGGGATATAGAAACGTGTAAAAGATGAGATGCAGTGAAGATGGAGAAAATGAATAGATCTTTAAATTTTTGAATTATGAAGAATCATCAACAAATTATTTTGTGGTTCCAAATACAGGGAGAAGTTCACAGATCCACAGAACTGATGACGGGGTACTGCTGGCTACAAACCCCTCAGCACAAGAGGGAGAAAGTTGCTGCTCCACTTTGCCTTGGCAGTCTTTGTAAGGCAGTAGATAAGTCAGTCTCGAAGTTAGCAATCGCATCCCTCGGCCTGGTTTCCCGCAAGGGCATCATTAATGCATCACAATTAATTTATTCTGTCCATTAAATGTCAGCTCTCAAGTAAATTGATGTACAATTTTTTTACAGAAAACTGTTTTGTATTATTTGCACTTGATGTTTAGTTACATTTTAAATATTTTGTTTGTCTCATTTTGTTTTGTTTTTGAGACAGAGTCTTGCTCTGTCACCCAGGCTGGAGTGCAATGGTGCAATCTCGTCTCACTGCAACCTCCACCTCCTGGGTTCAAGCGATTCTCCTGCCTCAGCCTCCCGAGTAGCTGGGATTACAGGTGCGCACCACCGCGCCCAGCTAATTTTTGTATTTTTAGTAGAGACAGGATTTCACCATATTGGCCAGAGCTGGTCTCAAACTCCTGACCTCAGATGATCCATCCACTTCGGCCTCCCAAAGTGCTGGGATTACAGGTGTGAGCCACCGTGCCTGGCCTATTCCTAGCCTTTTATATATAGAACTTTTTTTTTTTCACATTTTAAAGGAATATTTATGTTTAATCATGGAATATTTCAAACATACAGAAAATCACAGAAAATAAATAACAACCACTCATTTATCTTCTCCCCAACCCCATGTATAAATGTTAAAATACTATGTCAAATGCTAAATTTAACACATGCTAAAGGCTCCTGGCTGGATGTGATGGCTCACACCTGTAATCCCAGTACTTTGGGAGGAGGAGTGAGGAGGACTGCTTGAGTCCAAGAGCTCAAGATCAGCATGGGCAACATAGTGAGATCTCATCTCTACAAAAAACAAAAAAAGCTAGCTGGGCATGGTGGTGTGCATCTGTAATCCCATGACTGGGAGGCTGAGGTGGGAGAATTGCTTGAGTCTGGGAATTTGAGGCTGCAGTGAGCCCTGATCATGCCACTGCATTCCAGCATGGGCGACATAGCAAAACTTGTCAAAAAAAAAAAAAAGTTTCCTCTCTGCCCCACCGTAGGCGACCACTCTTCTGGTCTCCATCTTCGTAGAAGAATTTTGCCCATTCTCTAACTCGTATATGAAAGGAACCAGACATTAGGCATTCTGTTGTCTGGTTTCTTTCACTTAAGATAAAATTGAGTTAACCTGTGTTGTTGTACAGAACTGTAGTTTGTTTTTGTTATTTATTTATTTCTTGTAAAGACAGGGTCTGGCTGTGTTGCCCAGGCTGGTCTCGAACTGTTGGACTCAAGCAATCCACCTGCCTTGGCCTCACCAAAGCTCTGGGACCACAGGCATGAGCGGCGGCATCTGGTCTGTAGTTTGATCTTGTTTTTTGCTGAGTAGTAGCCCATGGCATGACCTTGTTATTTTGGGTGTCCATTCTCCTCTGGATGGGTTCTGCTTTGTGAAACCACACCCTGGCCTAGCTCCCCTTCTCCCTGCCTCTCTCCAGGCTCACATCCACACGCCGAGGCCTCCACTGCCGTTCTGCTTCCTGCCCTTCCACTCCTGTGGGACGTCAGAGAGCTATGGGGCTCCCTGGATACCAACTGGCTCCTGAGGCCTGGAGGCGGGTGGTCTTCTGGGAGAAGGAAGTCCCTTGCAGGTGGTGGAAGGGGACAGGATGAGGGTTTTTCCCCAGGGTGTCGTTGGCCCCTGCCCCCACTTCTGTTCCTTAACTAACCAGGGCCCTCCTACCCACTGTGCCCCTCCTCCTGCCACGTGGAGGCCCTGAATCATTATTTCAACTAACCCCTGGGAGGGTGAGCACCTTCTGTGCTGTGTCCCCAGCCTTTCACTTCCCCTCGACGCGCTGCTCAGGGATGACCTTCGGCACCGTGCTGCTTCTGAGTGGTGAGTGGGGCCAGGGGGCTGGGGAGAAGCTTGGAGGGATTCTGAGGGAACTCCATCTGGGAGGGCAGGCTGGGGGCTGGTGGAAGGCTCCCACCACTCTCATGAGGAGCTGAGGCAGGGGAGTGCTTCGTGTGCGAGTGGCCCAGAGTCGGGAGAGTGTGACCTGAATGAAGAGGGGCTCAGGGGCTGTGCTCACGTGGCGACTAAGCTATCTCTTCAGCCGGCTATGTTGTCCCAGGCTTCCCCGCTCCCGCTGATGGGGTCCCTGGTATGGGCGAGAGAGGTCTCCCCAGCCACCCCCGGGAATGGAAGGCCACAGAAGCCACCAGGGAGGGGGAAAGGTTGGACATCATCTCCCTGGGCCTGTTTCCCCCAAGTCCTGACTGCACGTAGGGAAGAGTCCCCCTGCTGAAAACTGCATCAGAGCCACATTCACGTGCCATCAAAAATCAGGCTTGGCCAGGCGCGCTGGCTCATGCCTATAATCCCAGCACTTTGGGAGGCACTTTGGGAGGGAGATGGGCAGATCCCCTGAGGTCAGGAGTTTGTGACCAGCCTGGCCAACATGGTGAAACCCCGTCTTTACCAAAAATACGAAAATTAGCGGGGCATGGCGGCATGCACTTGTAATCCCAGCTACTTGGGAAGCTGAGGCAGGAGAATCGCTTGAACCCAGGATGGAGGTTGCAGTGAGCCGAGATTGTGCCACTGCACTCCAGCCTGGGCAACAGAGCGAGACTCCATCTCAAAAAAAACAACAAAAAAAAGAGGCTGGGAGGTCCGAGGGATTGGGGCTTCTTTAACTCTCACTCCCTCCCACCCCCACCAAATATTCCTCAGTCCTGGCTTCTTTTCATGGATTCAACCTGGATGTGGAGGAGCCCACCATCTTCCAGGAGGATGCAGGCGGCTTTGGGGAGAGCGTGGTGCAGTTTGGTGGATCTCGGTAGGCCGCACTCACCCTCCTTCCCCAACCTCCACTGCATCATGTCCTGTGGATGGGTACACACGGGTTACCCCAGGGAGGCGTCCTGGAGGAAGGGCAGCAGGGGTAAGACGTCTTTCCTTGGCTCCTTGGAGGCCCTGATACCAGCATGTATTATTCTCAATCCCAGGAAGGGCCACAAAACTCTAGACAAGACCCCACCTTATCTCAGGAGGGAGGCCTTGAACCTGCCTTCCAGGCAGGGCCCACTTCTTAGGGGCCAGTGCAGTCACACAGGGCCCACACTCATTAAGTTTGGAGTTTAATGTTCTGCCCTGAACCTCTTGAAATTCCTGATGATTTTTATTTTTATTTTTACTCCAGTTCTGTTGCCCAAGCTGGAGTGCAGTGGTGCAATCACAGCTTACTGCAGCCTCAAACTCCCGGGCAAAGGGATCCTCTCACCTCAGCCTCCTGAATAGCTGGGACCACAGGTGCATGCCATCATGCCTGTTTTTTGTTTTGTTTTGTTTTGCTTTTTACAGAGACAGAGTCTTGCTATGTTGTCCAGACTGGCTGAACTCCTGGGCTCAAGCAGTCCTCCTGCCTTGGCCTCCCAAAGTGCTGGGATTACAGGTGTGAGCCACTCTGCCTTGCCAATTCTTGATTTTATCTGTGCATTTGTGTTTTGTAAGTAAAGAATGATGGCAGGGCTGGGCACCATGACTCACGCCTATAATCCCAACATTTTGGGAGGCCGAGGCAGGCACATCATCTGAGGTCAGGAGTTTGAGACCAATTTGGCCAACACAGCAAAACCCCGTCTCTACTAAAAATGCAAAAAATTAGCTGGGCATGGTGGCAGGCACCTGTAATCCCAGATACTTAGGAGGCTGAGACAGGAGAATCGCTTGAACCTGGGAGGTGGAGGTTGCAGTGAGCTGAGATCGTGCCACTGCACTCCAGTCTGGGTGACAGAGTGAGACTCCGCCAAAATAAAAAAAAGAATTATGGGAGAAGGGAGATGCACTGGGGGTTTGGAGCCTTAGCTCAGCAGCAGCCCCACCTGCCACCACCTCCTAGGGAAGGGGTATCAGCTGCTGGCTCCCCCACCCACATGGGAGCAATGACCACTGTCACCTTCCACCCCTGGCATGAGCTGAGTAAAGTCAGTTAGGTGCGCTCACCTGGGAGTACCCTGAGGGAGTGGGACACTGCATAGCAAATTAAAAAACCCCAGGACAGGTTGAGGGAGAAAGCAGAAGAAAGGTAAGAGCCCCTCAAGCCCAAGAGACCCCACATGTTTCTTACGAATTGGGACCCACAAATGATGAGCCTGCCCCCGCTTCCAGGAGCTCACATTCTCCTGCCCCAGAGAGTTCCAGTCACAGTGTGACACAGGCGTCACAAGGTCTGGGGGGCGCAGACAGGGAGACAGCAGACCCAGGGGGGCTCCATGGAGGAAGTGGTGCTGGCAGTGAGCCCCAGTGGACAGGAAGGCTCAGTTGGTCACAAGGAGCTGTGAGAGGTCACCGAACTCCAGCCGCACATCCCTCTCCCTTCCTCATGTGACCGGCAGTCTGGGGGGATGGAAGCAAGTGCCAGGCACCAGGGTTTTGTTTCTATTTATTGCGAAATGTGGCCAACTGAAGTGCACGAATCCGAAAGACCCAATTTGATGAGAGATACACATGTTTGTGCCTGGGTGAGCCCCACCTAGGTCAGCTGCTCCTGTGTAAAATCCCACAGGCACAGGGCTGCCATGGACCCCTTCTCATTACCCAACAAACCCAGAGAACCAGTGGTCAGACTTCTGTCACCATCAGTTTTTTAGGCCACATTTAAAAAAAAGAATACATTGGCTGAGTGTGGTGGCTCATGCCTATAATCCTAACACTTTGGGAGGCTGAGGTGGGTGGATCACCTAAGGTCAAGAGTTCAACACCAGCCTGACCAATATGGTGAAACCCCGTCTCTACTGAAAAATACAAAAATTAGCCTGGTGTGATGCCTGTAATCCCAGTTAGCTGGGTGACTGAAACAGGAGATTCGCTTGAACCTGGAAGGTGGAGGTTGCAATGAGCCGAGATCACGCCATTGTACTCCAGCCTGGGCGACAGAGTGAAACTCCATCTCAAAAAACATATGGGTTGATGGGCTACACTAAAGGTTTGCTCATCGTTTGTATCAGCAGGTTCCAAACTGCTGCCTCTCTAGCCAATGCTCAGATTTTCATCATAAAGCCTTAGGCATCCCCTGAATCATGACGCACAGGGATTGTAGCTTTCTGTAAAGGAGCGGCACCTAGAAGGAGCCCTCACATGGCCATTTAATGAAACCTTGCTTGGCGCATTAACATACACCAGTATTTGTCTGTTTTTCTCACCGGGGTGAGGAGATTGTGGGTAGTGAGAAAACATTTCCGAAATTAAAAAACTTTCCCACTCAGGGATTTTTGCAAATAAACCATGGACTCTACATAACTCTAGATATAGTTATGGATCCTAGTACACTGCTTTACCAATTGAAATTGCTTATATAATATTTAAATTGGTCCAGTGAATTACAGAATTAACTATTGGTTTTGAAAGCACATGTCTTCAGGAAATCGTTCCAATTAACTTGAGATGATCTTATTTCTTGGGTGATTCAAAATAATGGCAACTCAGAAACGCAATGTACTTACCCATGATTGGGAAATGCCATTTTGGTCTTTAAATAGTTTTCTTTTTGGTGAATGTTAAAAAAAATTTCTAAACATAAATACACACATACGTACGTATGCACACTCAAAACCAAATAAACCCCAGCATGACCCCTGGGCATCTGTGGGTTATACTCGGGCCCTGATTTCTGAATATTCTGCCAAATGGCAAATGCCAGGAGATTTCCCTCACGAAGTCTCACTTCCCCATGGAGGGACACTTCCTCGACCCCAGTGCCTGCTGCTCCCACCGCGCCTGTGGCTACAGTGACATGGCCACGGTTGTGTCTCCAGACTCGTGGTGGCAGCACCCCTGGAGGTGGTGGCGGCCAACCAGACGGGACGGCTGTATGACTGCACAGCTGCCACCGGTGTGTGCCAGCCCATCCCGCTGCACAGTGAGTGACCACCTGGGAATCGGGCCCCTCAACCCTCCTGGACCCAACTGTGCCCCTGCTTAGCTTCCAGTCCAGACCCTCCCCGCAAATAAGTGTGTGCTGTGAGTGAGACCCCACGTGTCTGCCCTCGCAGTCCACCCCAAGGCCGTGAACATGTCCTTGGGCCTGACCCTAGCAGCCTCCACCAATCGCTCCTGGCTTCTGGTGAGTGAGTGCTTTGGGCCATGGTGGCGGGGAGGGGGGTTGTAGGGGAGGAGGCTGGGGCTGGGGGTGAAGGAGGAGGGGGTGCTAGGGGCTCCTGGCTCACAGGTTCCTGCCTCCAGGCCTGTGGCCCGACCCTGCACAGAGTCTGTGGGGAGAACTCATACTCAAAGGGTTCCTGCCTCCTGCTGGGCTCGCACTGGGAGATCATCCAGACAGTCCCCGACGCCCTGCCAGGTAGGTTCCCGGCAGGCCACGGTTCCCTGTGGAGCACATGCTGGCACTGAGGGTGAGCAGGCATGAGGCCTGTGTTTGGGCTCATGTGCCCTCCCTGGAGGGCCAAGTGTGGCTAGGACAGAAGCCAGGAGGGGAGGGCGGCTCAGGCAGGAGCCCTGCTGCTCCAGGGTAGAAGTTCTTTGTAGGGTTTTTCTTTACAATTTTTTTCTTTATAAGACAGGGTCCCCGCCGGGCACGGTGGCTTAGGCCTGTAATCCCAGCACTTTATGAGGCTGAGGTGGGAGGATCACCTGAGGTCAGCAGTTTGAGACCAACCTGGCCAATGTGGTGAAACCCCTCTACTAAAAATACCAAAAAAAAAAAAAAAAAAAAGTCGGATGTGGTGTGCACCTGTAATCCCAGCCATTCGGGAGACTGAGGCAGGAGAATCACTTGAACCCAGGAGGCGGAGGTTGCAGTGAGCCGAGATTGTGCCATTGCACTTCAGCCTGGGTGACAAGAGCAAAACTCCATCTCAAAAAAACAAAAAACAGAGTCTCTGTCAGGCTGCATGCACCACCACACCCTGTTAATTTTTTTGAGACAGAGTCTTGCTATGTCACCCAGGCTGGAGTGCAGTGGTGCAATCATAGCTCACTGCAGCCTCGAACTCCTGGGCTCAAGTGATCCTCCTCCCTTAGCCTACCGAGTAGTTGGGACTGCAGGTACATGCATCACACCTGGCTAATTTTAAAACATTGTGTTTTTGTAGAGATGGGAGTCTTGCTATGTTGCCCAGGCTGATCTTGAACTCCTGGGCTCCTCTGGAGCTCCTCCTCTGCCACAGACTCTCAAAGTGTTGGGATGACAGGCATGAGTCCTCATGCCCGGTTTGAGGAGTGAAAGTTCTAATGGGGGCAGAGAGAAAGTTCTGATTCAGACCAGAGAGGCCATGACCACAGGCATGCTGGGCCTTTAGACAAAGGTGGAGCAGCAGCAGAAACATTCCCAGAGCAAATGGTGAGGGTGGAGTGTATGGAGGGGACTGAGGGAAAGGAGAAGGGACATCCAGGGCTTTTGGGGGGGATCGTGCCCAGCCTGAGATGTCTGTGAAGCCAGATTAGGGAGGTGACACTTAAAAACAAGGGGTAAATGTCTTCTCACAGCTGTCTCTGGAACTCATGAGGTGGGGTGCCTGATGCAAATGGGACTGGAGCATAAACCTGGTGCAGGCAAGGAGGGTGTGGGTCCAAGTGGAAGGGACCAGGGTCCACTGAACATCACCTGTGTGCCAGGCAGTGCTGAGTACCTGGTAGGAATCACCTTATTGCATCTTCACAACATCCTGGGTGGTGGGCAGGCCCGTTCCCATTTTACAGATGAGAAAACCAAGGTTCAGATAGCTAAGTTCCCATCAATAGAAAGAGGCAGAGCCCAGAGCTTGAGCCATCCTTGCCTGATTGGTGGGGTCATTTTTCAAAAGGACATGTCCAGGCTTCTGCTAGTGGAAGCCCAGGGGATACAATAAAAAGACCAAGAAAACAGAAGAGACATTGTGAGAGGATTTGCCACAGACCTGGCTTGAGAGAGGATGAGAGGGTGGTTTCTTGATGCAGCTGAAAAAACAAGCACCAGTGTAAGACATTGGCTGCCCAGATGTGAGCAAAAAAGGGGAGCTCCTGGGGAATCCGCAACCTGCCCCATGGATATCAAGATTTGCTGGTGATTGAAGAAGCAGGAAGGGAGGTGACCTTCTGTTTCTCCCCAGCACCCTTGAAGCACCAAGTGGTTGAGCAGGTGGGGTGGGGGAGAGGAAAGAGGAAAAGGCATTTTTTTCTGCAGTGGTGGGCGCGGGGCAGAAACCACAGCCCTGTGGTGTGGGCCTCACACCTTAGTGCTCTGATGGCCTGATCTCCCACCGCCCTGTGGGCAGCACAGGATGTGGCTGCTGGTGGAGATACCAACTGGGCCCTGAACACAGGCCACACCCCCCATGAGCCTGGGGACAGCATGAAAATTCTTGTTTGTTTATGTGCATATGATGTGTCCTCACGATTGCAGAGCGAACTCTACAGACTCTGAGGTCACTTGGGAATGTTCCTTTTTTTTTTTTTTTTTTTTTTGCAACAGAGTCTTACTCTGTCCCCTAGGCTGGAGTGCAATGGCACAATCTCGGCTCACTGCAGCCTCTGCCTCCCGGTTCAAGTGATTCTCCTGCCTCAGCCTCCCAAATAGCTAGGATTACAGGCACCCGCCACCATGCCTGGCTAATTTTTTTGTATTTTTAGTAGAGATGGGGTTTCACCATGTTGGCCAGGCTGGTTTCGAACTCCTGGCCTCAAGTAATCCACCCACCTCAGCGTCCCAAAGTGCTAGGATTACAGGTGTGAGCCACCACGCCCAACTGGGAATGTTCTTGGGTACCGCTTCCATGGGAGCGTGAAGGGTGGACGCAATGCAATCATAACAGAGGCCCAAGGCCAGCACAGGGGTGCTTGTCTGTCATCCCAGCGCTTTGGGAGGCCGAGGTGGGTGGATCATTAGAGCCCAGGAGTTTGAGATCAGCCTGGGCAACATGATGAAACTCCGTCTCTACAAAAATATACAAAAATTAGCCAGGCGAGGTGGTGCACGCCTGTAGTACCAGCTACTCAGGAGGCTGAGGTGAGAGAATTGCCTGAGCCTGGGGAGGTCGAGGCTGCACTGACCTGTGATCACACCACTGTACTCCAGCCTGGGTGACAGTGAGACTCTGCCTCAAAAAAACAAAAAATGAAAAAACCAGAGGCCTCAGCCAATCCCTGGGGGGCTCAGAGTGCAGCTGGCCCTTCAGACACTGAACCAGTCATTGGTAAAGGCTACCTCCAGGTGCAGGAGGTGTCCCTGTGGGCAAGAGCTCCCCTCTGCCTAGCATGATTCCTGGGAAGGGACTCAGCTCAGAGCCAACTCCACATAGCTGGAAATGAGGACCTCTGATCTGACCGGGGATTAGGGCTGGGTCTGGGGTGGATCCCTGCCCCACCCCCACAGCAGCCCTACAGGCATATCCTACAGGCCTCGAAGGTGCCTGGCACATGGTGAGAATTGTGCCAGTGGTTGACCCTGGCGGAGGGCCAGGACTTGTCTCCAGCATCCATGTGTGTGTTGCTTTATCCTTGCAGTAATCCCACATGGCAGCCACTGCTATTACCTTCATTTTACAGAAAGGGACACTGAAGTCCAGAGAAGTTAAGTAATGTGCCTGAATTCACCAATTAGCACATGGCTGAGCTGGGGTTTAGCCCAGGCACACTGGCTCCAGAACACGCACCCTGAACCACTTTGCTAGACATTCACCCGTGATGCTTGTGGCACCCCTAGCATCTGTATTTGATGAATATTTATTGATTAAATGAATGAGGAGCCCACCTGGGCCCTGGGTTCTCATCTCCCTCTTTCCAGGCCATGTGGGAGGGAGGGAGCAGGGGGCTGGGGTGGCAGATTGGGGCCTCCTCCAAGGAGGGGTCGGAAACCAGGTGGGGATGCCAAGAACAGCTCCCAGGTTCTGTTGAGCAGGAGCTGCAGGACAGGGCTGGGCCCCCACAGTGCGTCTCCAATTCCTCCCCATTCCCCCACAGAGTGTCCACATCAAGAGATGGACATCGTCTTCCTGATCGATGGCTCTGGAAGCATTAACCAAAATGACTTTAACCGGATGAAGGGCTTTGTCCAAGCTGTCATGGACCAGTTTGCAGGCACTGACACCCTGGTGAAGACTGGGCACCTGGGGCTGGGGGTTGGGGGACGGGGGAGGCTGGCCTGGGAGAGGCATCTTGGGAGGGGGTGGGGGCAGGCCAGTGGAGCCGTATGCCATGGGGCTGGAGTGGAGGATGAAGCTATGGTCCCAGCGCAGGCCCAACTTGAGCCCTGACCTAGGAGGCGACACTCCTTGGCATTTAATATATATCCAAAAGCTACAGGAAATACAATGTTTCTGCTGTTTAAAAACATTGAAAGTGTTTACAAAATAATTTTGCTATGAAATTTGACTGACTATAACTCAGTCAACTGATTGATGATTTATTGTATTTTCTGTGTAACTAATGATATATTTTTATTATTTTATTTTCCAATAACTAGTGTCTGTGTATGTGCAAAACCCCCCAATTTGTTGTTGTGTTTTTTTTTTTTTTTTTTTTTGAGACGGAGTCTCGCTCTGTCGCCCGGGCTAGAGTGCAGTGGCCGGATCTCAGCTCACTGCAAGCTCCGCCTCCTGGGTTCACGCCATTCTCCTGCCTCAGCCTCCCGAGTAGCTGGGACTACAGGCGCCCGTCACCTCGCCCGGCTAGTTTTTTGTATTTTTTTAGTAGAGACGGGGTTTCACTGTGTTAGCCAGGATGGTCTCGATCTCCTGACCTCGTGATCCGCCCATCTCGGCCTCCCAAAGTGCTGGGATTACAGGCTTGAGCCACCGCGCCCGGCCTAATTTGTTGTTTTTTAAACAGGGTCTTGCTCTGTCATCCAGGCTGCAGTGTGGGGGCGCAATCATCGCTCACTGCAAGCTTGATCTCCTAGGCTCAAGTGATCCTCTTGCCTCAGCCTCCCGAGTAGTTGGGACTACAGGTCCATGCCACCATGCCTGGCTAATTTGTTAAAATTTTTATTAGTAGAGATGGGGTCTTGCTATATTGCCCAACCTGTCTCCAACTCCTGGCTCAAATAGTCCTCCCACCTTGGTCTCTCAAAGTGCTGGGATTACAGGCATGAGTCACTACGCCCAGCCACAAATACTTGAGAATCAAGGAAATACACAAATTGATTTAATGTGTGATAAATTTTTTTATAAGCTAAGGGTAGCAAATATTGTGGTTGGCAAGGTTATTTTTAGTAAACTGTGAAGGGAACATCATTTGGTTTAGATTTTCCAGTTTATATTTTGTATTTTTGGGCCAATGAATTTTCTTCTCTGGGTTTCAGTATATTATTTGTAGGGCCTCAAAACACATGGGAAATGGTTTGTAAATCCAAAATAATTCCAAAATAAAGTTTATTAAAACTAAAAACAATATGGCTTGGTGTGGTGGCTCACACCTGTAATCCCAGCACTTTGGGAGGCTGAGGTGGGAGGATTGCTTGAGGCCAGGAGTTCGAGACCGGCCTGGGCAATATAGTGAGACCTTGTCTCTACCAAAACCAAACCAAACCAAAACAAAACAAAAAACAAAGCCAGGCATAGTGGCGTGTGCCTGTAGTTCCAGCTACTTGGGAGGCTGAGGCAGGAGGATCACTTGAGGCCAGGAACTTGAGAGACCTGTCTCTACAAAAAATTAAAATAAACAATAGAAACAGGCACTGAACCCTGGGCCCTCCCCGCTGGCCTTTGCAGTTCGCACTGATGCAGTACTCAAACTTCCCGAAGATCCACTTCACCTTCACCCAATTCCGGACCAGCCGGAGCCAGCAGAGCCTGGTGGATCCCATCGTCCAACTGAAAGGCCAGACATTCACAGCCACGGGCATCCTGCAAGTGGTGTAAGCACTCCCAACCCCGGCCTGCCAATGTGGCTGCCACCCCCACTTCCTAACCCTGGGTCAGCACAGCTCTTCTCAGAGGCTGAGGGAGGCTCCGGGGAAAGGGGCTACCAAGGGGCATGTCAGGGCTGCAGGGAAAACCTCCCCCCGGGGTGCTCCTGGCTGCCTCACTGCCAGTCTCCCTAATATAGGACGAGGCTCCTCTGCAGCTGTGCCTCCCCTTTGCCTGGTTCTGCAGAGCCTGGATCCCAGAACCCCTCCCCACCCCACAGCAGCCAGAGGCCCGGGCTTTGGCTCAGACACATCAGGCTTCCATCCTGGCTCCCCACGAGCTACTCTGGGTGTAACCCTGGGAGTGATGGGCTCTAAGTCTCAGTGACTCTCAGATGAGGATAAGCTCACAGCTTAGGATTGAGATCATGCGTATGGGGTGCTCAGCTCGGGGCACACAGGAGGTGTCAGATAAATGCCTGAGGTTTTATCAGAGAATGGAGCAGTCAGGGACTCAGGAATTGTCACCCAAGGTCGTCCTGGTGCCTTTCTTCCTACTCACCTCCTCCCCTGCATCCCTCACCCCTGCGCAACCCCTGTGCTACTCAGGCACTCACCGTGGGCCTGCCTTATGCACATGCGGTCTATGCCTAAAATGACGTAGGAGGTGGGGCCCCCGAGAAGGGCATGTGGTTCTTGTGGGAAGGAGCTGGGCTGAAGGTCGGGGATCCTTGGCTTCCTGCACACACCCCTGGGAGCGGCCATGGGGTGCTGCTAGAATTTGGCTTAAGCAAGAGATGCTCCTGCCAAATGCACCATCTTTACTTCTGGGAGGATCTTCTGCCTTGAACGGTGGCCCCCTGTGACTCAGCAACCCAGAGGAAGGCCTCCGTCTGTCCTGTAAGATTAAAGTAACACAGGAGTGTCCCCCTCCTGGAGTCTCCACCTCACCCCTCAAAGTTCTTCCAGTGGTGGGGCCTGGGAGAAAAAATGAATGAGGCAGAGGTGACCAAGTGGTTCTCACCAACTCCAGTGATGCTCTCAAGCCCAGAGTGCAGGGAGTTTCCCAGCAGCCTCTGCTCCCCAGAGCCAAGCCCATCTCAGGGCTGGACTCAGCCAAGGATTGGACCTCCCTGCTGCCAGCCCTTCCCTTCCCTTCCCTTCCCTTCTTCCCTTCCCTTCCCTTCCCTTCCTCCCTTTCTCCTTCCCTCCTTTCTTTCTTCCCTCCTTTCTTTCTTCCCTTCCTCCCTTCTTCCCTTCCTCCTTTCCCTCCCTTCCCTCCTTCCTTCTCTCTCTCTCTCTCTCTTGTTTTTTTAGACAGAGTCTCACTCTGTCGCCCAGGCTGGAGTGCAATGGCACAATCTTGGATCACTGCAACCTCCATCTCCTGGGTTCAAGCGATTCTCCTGCCTCAGCTTCCCAAGTAGCTGGGATTACAAGTGCACACCACCATGCCCGGCTAATTTTTGTATTCCCAGTTCAAGCAATTCTCCTGCCTCAGCCTCTGAGCAGCTGGGACTATAGGCCTGCACCACCACGCCTGGCTAATGTTTGTATTTTTAGTAGAGATGGGGTTTCACCATATTGGCCAGGCTGGTCTCGAACTCCTGACCTCAAGTGATCTGCCCACCTCGGCCTCCCAAATGCTGGGATTACAGGTGTGAGCCACAACGCTCAGCCTCTTCCTTCTCTTCCTTCTTTTCTTCCCTTTCTTTCTTTTCTTCTTTTTTTAAAAAGAAGTTTTATTACCAAAAAAAAAAAAAAAAAGCAAAACCCAAATGGCAATAACAGTAAGGAAACTTTTTTAAACAGAAGTATTATATTACCCACAGTCCCTCTAGTCAACCATCCTACAGTATTTTAGTAACATCAAGGGATACTTGCAAGTGAATCAATAAATCTCAGCCGCATAGCACAATGCCACTTCCATCCCCATCTTTATTCAGGCTTATTTTGTATGGTCACATTCAGGGCAGAAACTATTTTCATCCTGTTTGGGTTTTTCCCCCACCTCATCTAGGTCCACAATTTTTTGTTTTCCTTTTTTTTTTTTTTTTTTTTGAGATAGGTCTCACTCTGTTACCCAGGCTGGGGTGCAGTGGCACGATCATGGCTCACTGCAGCTTCCTCCTGACTCAACCTCCCGAGTTGGGATCACAAGTGCATGCCACCATATCTGGCTAATTTTAAAAAATATTTTTTATAGAGACGAGGTCTTGCTATGTTGCCCGGGCTGGTCTTGAACTCTGGCCCTCGAGAGATCCTCCTGCCTCGGCCTCCCATACTGCTTTCCTTTGAAATGGCTGTGTCTACTAACAGGCTAGGTCATGACTGGCTAAACCCTTTCCCCAGTGTTGGATATTTGGGTTATTTCCAATATCATATTGGCACCTGTATGTATTTGCTCTGAGTTTATAGAGTTACATGAGCAGGCAGTTACTTTTTTTTTTTTTTTTTTTTTTTTTTTTGAGACAGAGTCTCACTGTCGCCCAGGCTGGAGTACAATGGCGATGCTCAGGCTCACTGCAACCTCCCTCTCCCAGGTTCAACGGATTCTCCTGCCCTCAGACTCCTGAGTAGCTGGACCACAGGCACTTGCCACAACACCCGGCTAAGTTTCGTATTTTTAGTAGAGAATGGGGTTTCACCATGTTGGTCAGTCTAATCTCAAACTCCTGACCTCGTCGATCCTCCCACCTTGGCCTCCCAAGGTGCTGGGATTACAGGTTGGGCACTGTGCCCGGCCGATAGGTACATGTTAATTGTTTGTTACAGCTGTCATCTAATTAGTAGTCACCCACAGGCCATTCACTGTAAAAGCTTGACCTTGTTTAATCTTCGGGATACCTGACACACTTGTTTCAGTATCTACTGTTGCCTAACAAACCATCCCCAAATTAAGTGGGTTAAACAACCCAGCACTAAGCTAGTGTCCTGGTGCCTGGGGGGGATATGCTGGAAGGCAGGCTTGGTGGGGGATGGCTGAGCCTCTACTTCCGGTGGCCCTTCTTCCATGTGACCACTCCATGGGTGCGTCCAATAGGGCAGCCAGACTTCTCTCATTGTGCTCACAGGGTCCCAAAAGTGCAAAAGCAAAAGAAACCAAGGCTTCTGAGACCTATGATTGGCATGGTGTCACGTTCCACCACATGCTGCTGATGAGAGTGGGACTCAGCGAGGCAGGTCCACTGTGGAGGGAACCAGGTGGTGGTTCACTGGGGGCCATCTTTAGAGACAGCTACAGCAAGTCATCCTTCATCATACATGAGAGCTAGGCAGAGCCTGGGAGAGGTTAAGTCCATTCCCAAAGTGGTGGTCTTGACTCCAAACCCATCTGCTTTGAAACCACACTTCTCTGGGGAAGAGAGCTCAGCACTTGGATAGGAATTTTAGAAACAAAGAAATGTGACTTCCTCTTATTATGTCTAATTAATGGTTTGTGTGCTTTCACAAAATGGCCAAATTAGCTGGGCACGGTGGCTTCACGCCTGTAATCCCAGCACTTTGGGAGGCTGAGGCTGGTGGATCACTTTGAGGTTCGTGAGTTTGAGATCAGCCTGACCAACATGGTAAAACTTCATCTCTACTAAAAATACAAAAATTAAGCCGGTTTTGTGGTGGGCACCTGCTAATCCCAGACTACTCAGAGAGGCTTGACGCATGGGAATCGCTTGAACCCTGGGAGGATGAGGTTCGCCAGTGAACTCGATGATCACGCCACTGCAACTCCAGAGCCTGGGCATCAGATGTGAGACTCGATGTCTCAAACAGAAACAAATAATGGCCAAATCAGTTCCTTAACATTGCTCTGAATAGAATGTGAGGGTGTGCCAGGACTCCACAGCCTCTCCAGATGAGAGCACGGCAAATGATGTCTTTCCAGTAGAGTCACATCTCAGTAGAGTCACATCTCAGTAGAGTCACATCTCAGTAGAGTCATCTTCCTTTCCTCCCTGACAGGACACAGCTATTTCATCATAAGAACGGGGCCCGCAAAAGTGCCAAGAAGATCCTCATTGTCATCACAGATGGGCAGAAATACAAAGACCCCCTGGAATACAGAGATGTCATCCCCCAGGCAGAGAAGGCTGGCATCATTCGCTACGCTATCGGGGTGCGCCTCTTCTTCACCCCTGCCCCAGGCTCAGCCTGCACCTCCTGCAGGTGCAGTGCTGCTGGGCTCCTCCTCCTCAGCTGCCTCTCTGCTGCAGGTGGGACGCGCTTTCCAGAAACCCACCGCCAGGCAGGAGCTGAACACCATCGGCTCAGCGCCTCCACAGGACCACGTGTTCAAGGTGGACAACTTTGCAGCCCTTAGCAGCATCCAGAAGCAGCTGCAGGAGAAGATCTATGCAGTTGAGGGTAAACGGGAGCAAGAGGGCTCCTGGGAGCCAAGGGGTCCCCACCCAATTGTCCCGCGCAGTCTTTTTTTTTTTTCTTTTTTTTCTTTTGAGATGGAGTCTCACTTTGTCCCCAGGCTGGAGTGCAGTGGCACGATCTTGGCTCACTGCAACCTCTACCTTCTGGGTTCAAGTGATTCTCCTGCCTCAGCCTCCCGAGTAGCTGGGATTACAGGCATGTGCCACCATGCCCAGCTAATTTTTGTATTTTTAGTAGAGGTGGGGTTTTGCCATGTTGGCCAGGCTGGTCTCGAACTCCTGACCTCAGGTCATTTGACAACCTTAGCATCTCGAAGTGCTGGGATTACAGGCATGAGCCACCACTCCTGACCTGTCCTGCGCAGTCTTGATGGGCCATTCCTGTTCACAAATCACTCAAAATTGCTCTCCAGAACCCAAGCGTCAGATCATGTTCTCCTCCCTGTGTTCTGAGTCCTCATGTGTCTCACGGCTTCTAGGAACTTCACTGACTTGTTTCCCTAACAGGAACCCAGTCCAGGGCAAGCAGCTCCTTCCAGCATGAGATGTCCCAAGAAGGCTTCAGCGCAGCCCTCACAATGGTGGGTAGAGTCTGCCCTCAATCCACAGCTCTTGGATATCAATTCTGTGCCCACCCTGGGCTGGAAGCCAGACATAAACAAGATCAGACCCCGTCCTCAATTTCACCCTCTCGCTGGGGAGAGGCCCCCACGCTGTATGTTAGGGGCCAGGAGCACAGCAGGGAAGAGGGTGGCCTGGGTTCCTGCTCTCAAGGATCACGTATTCTAGTGGAGGAGACAGTAAGCAAGAGCCTCTCAGACAGCACTGAGCATCAGGGTAGAGAGAGAGATGGCCAGAGGAGTCTCAGTAATGGAAAAGGCCAGCCCTGGACAAATCAGGGGAGACTGCTCTGGGCACGGGACAAAGCGAGTGCCAGGCGGACCTGGGTCCAGGTTCTCGGAGGGAGAGAGAGGGGCTTGCCAGAGCCCAGGGAGCCCAGGCAGCCTGGAAGGAGAGGCCTGGAGGCTGAGAAGGACCAGGTGGGATCAAAGATGTGGCTTCAAAGTGCATGTGTGTTCAAAGGATCCAGATTGGGCCGGGCACTGTGGCTCACGTCTGTAATCCCAGCACTTTGGGAGGCTGAGACGGGCGGATCACTTGAGGTCAGGAGTTTGAGAACAGCCTGGGCAACATAGTGAGACCCTGTCTCTACAAAAAATTAAAAAATTAGCCAGGCATGGTGGCACGTGCCTGTGGTCTCAACTACTCAGGAGGGACTGCATGAGTTCAGGAGTTCAAGACCGCAGCGAGCTATGATTGTGCCACTGCATCACAGCCTGTGTGACAGAGCAACAGCCTGTTTCAAAAAAAAAAAAAGGTGAAATGAAGTTGACTCTTCATTTACCCTTCCAGGGAGGGTAAATGAGCTGAGTCCCAGAAAACGAGAAGGGGAGGGAGGTGTCCCGGCCAAAGGCTTGATGTGCTTTAGAACAGAGGGAGGCTCCATGGCTTTGATGGGGAAGGGTCCTAGGTGCCACCGGAAGGGCCTTGGCGATGGTTTTCCAGCAGGGGTGGCTGCACATTTGGGTTTGGGGAAGCCTGGCACTGGGGCAGTAGACAGAGGGGCAGCGGTGAGCACAGCGGGGGCAGACAGGGCGGTGAGTGAGAGGAGAGTGAGTTGGCGGAGCAGTGGCTGTGGGGACAGAGGCTGCTGGTGAGGGCTGGGAAGACAGAGAAGAAAGGCCTGGATGGCAAGTGATGCGGGCGGCAGGCGTGTCTCTGGGACATACTGTCTTCCTGCTCCAGTCTCTGCTCAGCCCTGGAATTCTTTCCTCCCAGGATGGCCTCGTCCTGGGGGCTGTGGGGAGCTTTAGCTGGTCTGGAGGTGCCTTCCTGTATTCCCCAAATATGAGCCCCACCTTCATCAACATGTCTCAGGAGAATGTGGACATGAGGGACTCTTACCTCGGTGAGAAACGGCCAGGGGTTGGGGACAGGTTGGAGATGCGCTGCCCAGGGTGGGGGGCCAGGGTTCTGGGGAGGGGAGAAGGGGGCTGCGCTGCCTGAGGTGGGGTCCAGGGTTCTGGGGAGGGGAGAAGGGGGCTGTGCTGCCCAGGGTGGGGTCCAGGGTTCTGGGGAGGGGAGAAGGGGGCTGCGCTGCCTGGGGTGGGAGGCCTGAGGAGGGGAGAAGGGGGCTGTGCTGCCTGGGGTGGGGTCCAGGGTTCTGGGTGGGGGGAATGGGGGCCTTTGTGCTGAGGCCTGGGCCCCTCAGGTTACTCCACTGAGCTAGCCCTATGGAAGGGGGTGCAGAGCCTGGTCCTGGGGGCCCCCCGCTACCAGCACACCGGGAAGGCTGCCATCTTCACCCAGGTGTCCGGGCAATGGAGGCTGAAGGCCGAAGTCACGGGGACGAAGGTTGGGTGTGACAGGAGCCAGAGGGGAAGATGAGGGTGGGGACAGTGGCTGGGGCCGGGGAGAGGATGGAGGGGCTTTGGGGGCCTTGGGGGAGGTCCTGGTACCTGGGGAGAGGTGGGACCTGCCCACATGGCTGCCTCTGGCGGGGACAGGCAGCATGACCCAGGCTCTGCCTCCCAGATCGGCTCCTACTTCGGGGCCTCCCTCTGCTCCGTGGATGTGGACGGCGATGGCAGCACTGACCTGATCCTCATCGGGGCCCCCCATTACTACGAGCAGACCCGAGGGGGCCAGGTGTCCGTGTGTCCCTTGCCCAGGGGGGTGAGTGGCTGATGGGACCTGGGCTGGGTGGGGTCTGGTGTGGGTGGAGGGGTCGCCTGGGTCGGGGTCTGACACTGTTTGTGTTCAGCAGAGGGTGCAGTGGCAGTGTGAAGCTGTTCTCTGTGGGGAGCAGGGCCACCCCTGGGGCCGCTTTGGGGCAGCCCTGACAGTGTTGGGGGACGTGAATGGGGACAAGCTGTCGGATGTGGCCATTGGGGCCCCGGGAGAGCAGGAGAACCGGGGTGCTGTCTACCTGTTTCACGGAGCCTCAGAATCCAGCATCAGCCCCTCCCACAGCCAGGTGAGGCCCCTGTCTTCAGCCTCTTCCAGTCCCAGCTCTTTCCCATGTCCTGAGTTCACTGAACGCAGCCTCCTGTCTCTGTCACCATTCCCTTCCTTGTTTCAGTGGTTCATCAGCTAAGCACACGTCATCTCTCTTCTCTCCTCTGTTCTGGAAAGCCTTCCATCTGTGTGGGCAGCTTAATGGTTAGGAGAGCAGGCTTTGAGGTCAGAGGTCAGTTCAAATCCCTGGCCTGGCCAGCCATCCTGAGCTGTGTGGCCTTAGGCAGGTGACTGACAGCCTTAGTCAGCCTTAGTTTCTTTCTATAAAATGCAGAAATGATAAAACCAACTCCTTAGTCTTCTTGTAAAAATAACAGTGAGAGTGCTAAGGCAATCACCACTGCACTCACTGAAGGTTCATGAGTGACCTGACCAGCGATGAATACACAAATATATTCTACGCCTATTATTATGCTCTTACTTCCTCACCAACCTTTACTCTCATGACGGGTTGGACCCAAAGAGCCCCCTTCTCTGTTTGGGGATCCCAAGGTCCTCACCCTGTTTGCTTTCTGTCTTTTTTTTTTTTTTTTGAGACAGTCTCACTCTGTCGCCCAGGCTGGAGTGCAGTGGCGTAATCTTGGCTCACTGCAACCTCTGCCTCCTGGGTTCAAGCAATTCTCCTGCCTCAGCCTCCCGAGTAGCTGAGATTACAGGTGTGTGCCACCATACCTGGCTAATTTTTGTATTTTTAGTAGAGATGGGGTTTCACCATGTTGGTCAGGCTGATCTGCTCGCCTCAGCCTCCCGAAGTGCTGGGATTACAAGCGTGAGCCACCCGGCCTATTTGCTTTCAATTTCTATCCCCACATCTCTCCTTTCCAATTTCTCTCTTCAGATCCTCTTTCACCACAATCTCTTTTCCAAATCTCTCTTCTCAAACTTTTCACATCGCCTCCCTTTGACTTCCGCCTCTCCCATCTCTCTGGCCAGCGGGTCGCTGGAAAGATGAGCAAATGGAAGCACAGAAAGATTGAGTCCTTGCCCACGGCCTCGTGGTTCATACATGGAGGAGTCAGAACTGGAACCAGAGACTGATTGAATGAATGACACTTGGGTCACCAGGACACCCTTCCAATCTCCACTCCTATATCTGTTTCTTAGCAATCATCTCCCGACTCCTACCTCCTCTTTTCAGGCTCTTATTGGTGACATCTGTTAACAACTCACCCCTTCTCTCCCTTTCCCACAGTCCTACCTCCATATTCCCCTTGTTACTTATTTCCAACTTCTTCCCCCACCTTCCAGCCTGATTCACCCTTTTCTCTTCTGGCCAGCGGATCGCCGGCTCCCAACTCTCCCCCAGGCTGCAGTATTTTGGGCAGGCGCTGAGCGGGGGTCAGGACCTCACCCAGGACGGACTGATGGACCTGGCCGTGGGGGCCCGGGGCCAGGTGCTCCTGCTCAGGTAGCAACTCCCCAACATCCTGCCCTCCCATGCTGTGTCTGATTCACTGGTGCTGGCACCCCCTGCCTTGTTATCTTCCCAGAGGCCAGTGTTCTGTCCTCCCCACTACCCTGCCCCTCAGGAGTCTGCCAGTGCTGAAAGTGGGGGTGACCATGAGATTCAGCCCCGGAGAGGTGGCCAAGTCTGTGTACTGGTGCTGGGAAGAGGGGCCCAGTGCCCTGGAAGCTGGGGACGCCACCATCTGTCTCACCATCCAGAAAAGCTCACTGGACCAACTAGGTGTGTTTCCCCCATAAAGGTGCCCCGGCCCCTCATCCCATTAGGGGCTCCAATGCCATCCTGAGGATGGGATGGGCCCAGGAACCAATCTCACCTCCACATCCACTCAACACCTGTGCCAGAAACCTGGCTCATTCTCTCCCCTCTTCCTCACACCTGGGCCTGTGGGTTCTGTCTCCAGGGTTAACCTGAAGTCCACCCAGTTTTCTCCTGGGCCCCAGCCGCCGCCTTCCCCCAGCCCCTGATTCCCTTCCACCTACACCAAAGTCATGACATGAAGGAGTTACCATATCCCTTCTTGTACCCTCCCACCCATTTTCCACCGAGGAACTAGAGTCGACTGGTCCTAAAATGTAAATCTGGGCACCTCACTCCCCTGAGTAACCCCCCGTTTGCATTTACAAAGACCCCAGTCCTTCCCTCCAATGCCCTCTCTGACTTGGCCTCCTGGCCTCTCTGGCCTCACGGCATCCCACTCTTCCTTACTAGGCACACTTTTCACAAATGCGCCAGCTTCGCTCTCCCTTCCGGTCTTAGGCCCTGTCCCCACGGTCCCAGACGTTCTCCCCACTCCTCACCTGGTTCCTGCTCATTCTCTGGGTGGCTGCTTAGCCTTGGTCCATCTGGGATGGCAGCATGGCCAGGTCCAGCGAGCGTGCTATCCTTAGAACCACAGGAGAGCCTCCCCTTGCACTGATCACGCTGTGATATCATGGCCCATGTGCTTGGTTTCTCTCTTAGATTGTGAGATTCATGAGAGTGGGGCCATATCCATCTAGCTAGCTAATCTATCATCTATCTACCAAATCTATCATCTATCTATTATCTATTAATCTAATCTATCACCTATCTAATGTATCATCTATCTACCAATCTATCACCTATCTAATGTATCATCTATCTACCAATCTATCATCTATCTAATGTATCATCTATCTACCCATCTATCACCTATTATCTATCATCTATCTATCTGATCTATCACCTATCTAATCTCTCATCTACCAAATCTATCATCTATTATCTATCATCTATCACCTATTTAATCTATCATCTATTTATCTATTATCTAGCCATCCATCCATCCATCCATCCATCCATCCATCCATCCATCCATCATCCATCTGTCCATTTATCTTCTCCACATGTATCCCCAGCACGTGGTACAGTTCATGGCCTGTAAAAGTGTCCGGCAAACACGTATTGTATGAACAAATAAATGAAAACAGAGCATTCTAGGTTATTTCTGCCTTTTCATTTTCCACTCTGCCCTGCACTTCAGGTGACATCCAAAGCTCTGTCAGGTTTGATCTGGCACTGGACCCAGGCCGTCTGACTTCTCGTGCCATTTTCGATGAAACCAAGAACCCGACTTTGACTCGAAGAAAAACCCTGGGACTGGGGGTTCACTGTGAAATCCTGAAGCTGCTTTTGAAAGTGAGGACTTCGGGTTCTGAGAAGGGGCAGGGAGGAGGAGCCCAAGGGTGGCCTGGAGCACCCTCGCTCTCTGCAGAGCGAGGCGGGAAGGGTTAGGATGTTGGGGCTGGAGAGAGGAAAGCTGGGGCAGGAGAACCTGGCTCCACTGCTTGGAGGGGCACTGTCAGGGCAGTGGGGAGTGGATGCAGTGCAGGAGGACTTGTGGTGGAGCGTAGAGGACTGCAGGTTCTTGAAAGCCTGTTCTCCCTCAGGATTGTGTGGAGGACGTGGTGAGCCCCATCATTCTGCACCTCAACTTCTCGCTGGTGAGAGAGCCCATCTCCTCCCCACAGAACCTGCGTCCTGTGCTGGCCATGGGCTCACAAGACCTCTTCACTGCTTCTGTGAGTTTCCCAATGAAGTCCCAGGGATGTCCTGACTTCATTTTGTCTCCATGCACTTAAGAATCCACTGTAGCTCCCAATCACCCAACCACATCCAGCCCAGAAACCTGACTCCAGTCTCTCCCCTCCTCCTCACACCCAGGCCTGTGGGTTCTGTCTCCAGGACAGACCTGAAGTCCACCCCATTCTCCTCCTGGTCCCAGCTGCTGCTTCCCCCAGCCCCTCGATTCTCTCCTACCTACACCAGAGTCAGCACAAAGTGGTTCCCATATCTATTCCTATACCCTCCCACCCATTTTCCATAGAGGAGCTAGAGTCAACTGGCCCTAAAATGCAAATCTAGGCTTTTCAGTCCCCTGCGTAATCCCCCTTGCATTTACAAAGACCCCGGCCCTTCCCTCTGATGTCCTCTCTGACTTGGCCTCCTGGCCTCTCTGGCTTCACAGCATCCCACTCCCCCTTACTAGGCATGCTTTTAGTAAATGCACCAGCCTTGCTCCCCCTTCTGGTCTTAGGCCCTGCTTCCACCTCACATCCCAGGCGGTTCCCACTTTTCCCTAGCACAGTCTCTCTTGTTCATTCCCATATCCCTCCCAAGTTTCCTCATTCCTACCTCGGTACCTTTGTTCCTTTCTCGCCCCTCGTTTGGAAAACACTGCCTTCTGCCTTCTCTTCCCCTCTCCCCTTGAAGTTCCAGCCTCACCTCCCTCTCTTCTGAAGGCCACACTCAGCAGCTGCTGCTCCTTCTCTGGTCCCTGTTACACCAAGGTGGTGCCACAGCAGGTATCACACAGCTGTTATAACCATCTGCATCTACATTTGAGGCTGTCTTGGGACTGTAGTTTCCTTGAGCATAGGAACGTTGTTGAATTTGCCTGTCGTTTCCACCTTCCCTCAGCCCTCACCCAACCCAGAACCTGCACAATTATTGGCACTTAATAATGTTTGTGGAATAATTGTTCCAGGATAAGCTGGATGTGACTCAACTGAACTTTCTGTCCCTTGAAGCCAAGGATCTTGTCCTATCTTTCTTTTATATGCCAACCTCCAAACCGCACCTGCGCCCCTTGTTGGTGTCCAGCAAAGTGCTGGGGGCAGTGGCTTAGTAATGCTCAATGTTGGTGGGTGCTTCTAAGGAGGGTCTTGGAGAAAGACTAAGACGTCAGATGGGAACAGAATGTACTGTTTTGCTGCAGCTCCCCTTTGAGAAGAACTGTGGGCAAGATGGCCTCTGTGAAGGGGACCTGGGTGTCACCCTCAGCTTCTCAGGGTGAGCTGTAACTCCTTTCATATCCAGACACTCGGGCTTCCGAGTCCCCCATCCTCCTGGGATGCTTGTGCTGCTCTCTGGCTCTCTTTCTAACAAAAGTGATGTTGACTGGGATGTTATTGGCCCAGAGTTTCCAGGGCTGCCCTGCCTTTCCCAGTTCCCGTCTATTTCCAGTGGAGTCCCACTCCCAGCCTTTCCGTTCAGTGGAGTTCCACTCCCAGTCCTTTCCCTTCAGCCTGAAGATCCTGACCGTGGGGAGCTCCCTGGAGCTCAATGTGATTGTGACTGTGTGGAATGCGGGTGAGGATTCCTACGGAACTGTGGTCAGCCTCTACTACCCAGCAGGGCTGTCCCACCGACGGGTGTTGGGAGCCCAGGTAACAACTGCTGTAGGCTCTAGTGGGAGGGGGCCTCTCCCCTGCCCTGTAGCCCTGGGAGTTACAGAATGTTCTTCAAAATTCTTCTGTGATGATATGTACTCTCTCTCTCTCTCTCTGTCTGTCTCTCTCACACACACACACACACACACACACAGAGAATGAGAAAGTGCATAAAGCATATATACAGTTTAATGAATAATATTAAACAAACCATAGAGTTAACATCCAGGTCAAGAAATAAATCGCTGCTAGTATCCCCAGAACCCCCTCCCCGTGTACCTTTCCCCATCACAGCTCCAGCCTCTCCCCAAAGGTCATCACTATTCTGACTTTGTGGTCATCACTTCCTTGTATTTCTCCCTCTCTCCCTCAGTCCCTCCCTTCCTCCCTCTCTTGTTTTTTTTTTTTGTTTGTTTGTTCGTTTTTTTTGAGAAGGAGTCTTACTCTGTCACCCAGGCTGGAGTGCAGTGGCACAATCACCAATCACTGCTGCAGCCTAGACCTGCTGGGCTCAAGCAATTCTCCCACCTCAGCCTTCTGAGTAGCTGGGACTACAGGTGCATACCACTACGCCCAGCTAATTTTTAATTTATTTATTTTTTATTTTTATTTCTTTTAGAGACAGGGTCTCACCATGCTGCCCAGGCTGGTCTCAAACTGCTGGGCTCAAGCAATCCTCCCGCCTCAGCCTCCCAAAGTTCTGAGATTACAGGCGTGAGCCACCGCACCTGACCATGTTTTTTCTGCGTGTGGGCTTGTTTAAGAAACACTTCCAGGTTATGAAAATAGCCCCCATATTATCTTCCAAAAACTTCATGGTTTTGCTTTTTCACATTTAAGTCTTTAATTCAGTTGGAATTTATTTTAATTTATGGAGTGGGGTAGGGATCCAATTTATTTTTCTTCTTTCTTCTTTCTCCTCTTCTTCCTCTTGTTCTTTCTTTACTTTTCTTTTTTTTTTTTTTTGTTTGGGTCAATTTTCCTGGCATTGATGGAAATTGATTGAAAAGTCTGTCCTTGGCTGGGCGAGGTGGCTCACACCTGTAATCCCAGCACTTTGGGAGGCCAAGGCTGGTGGATCACCTGAGGTCAGGAGTTTGAGACTAGCCTGGCCAACATGGTGAAACCCCATCTCTAGTAAAAATACAAAAATATTAGCCAGGCATGGCAGCAGGCACCTGTAATCCCAGCTACTTGAGAGGCTGAGGCAGGAGAATTGCTTGAACCTGGGAGGTGGAGGTTGCAGTGGACCATGCACTCCATTGCACTCCAGCCTGGGTGACAAGAGTGAGAATCCGTCTCAAAAAAAAAAAAAAAAAAAAAAAGAAAAGTCTGTCCTTTTCCCTACTGCTCTGCAGTGTCACCATTGCTGTGTATCAAGCCCACACATGCATGCGGGTAACTTTTTAAAATTCATTCTCCTCTCCTAGAAGCAGCCCCATCAGCGTGCCCTGCGCCTGGCATGTGAGACAGTGCCCACTGAGGACGAGGGCCTGAGGAGCAGCCGCTGCAGCGTCAACCACCCCATCTTCCGTGAGGGCTCTAACGTCAGTGCTTCCCCTGAAATCCCCATCACTGTCCTCCCTTGTCCCAATCCGTCCCTCACTCCACCATGCCCTTCCTTTTATCCCCATTCTTTCCTTCTCCTTCCCTCAGGGCACCTTCATAGTCACATTCGATGTCTCCTACAAGGCCACGCTGGGAGACAGGATGCTTATGAGGGCCAGTGCAAGCAGGTGGGTACAGGCCAGGGTGCCCCCACCCTCCATCTCATGCCCCGGCTAGAGACCCCTCTCCTGGATTCCTTCCCATTGGTCCCCCCTTTCTTTCTCTAGCGAGAACAATAAGGCTTCAGGCAGCAAGGCCACCTTCCAGCTGGAGCTCCCGGTGAAGTACGCAGTCCACACTGTGATCAGCAGGTGCCCAGTCCCTGGCCCTCCCCGTGGACCTCTGGGCTTCCTCTACGCCTGGTACTCCCTCTGAGTCCCAGCTTGCTCTTCCAGTGATGCACATCTAAGCTCTCCTGTTTTGGGATGCCTTTGTGGGTGAACAGCCATATATAATAATGTTTATGCTACATAAACATGTTTCTGGGCTGGACGTGGTAGCTCTCGCCTGTAATCCCAGCACTTTGGGAGGCTGAGGCAGGTGGTTCAACTGAGGTCAGGAGTTCGAGACCAGTTTGGCCATCACGGTGAAACTCCATCTCTACTAAAAATACATAAGCGCGAGCTGCCTCGTGGTTCCCTCTACGGCCTTTCTGTATCTCCTCTGGGATGTCCTCAGCTTGCTTCTTCCATTGATGATTTGCTACATTCTAAGAAGCTTCTCCTGTTTTGGATCTGCCTTTGTGGGTAACTCATGAGCCAGAATAGTTATTAATTAATGTTCTATGCTACATAATACCATATTTCTGGTCTGACTGTGGTTAAGCTCGGTCGCCTTAACCCCAGCAGCTTGGGAGGCTGATGCAGCTGGTTTCACACGATGAGTCCAGGAGTCGCAGGACCAGTGTTTTTCGTATTGGCCATCAGACGGTGGAACTCCCATCTCTACTAAAAAATACATAAGCTGTAATTAGTTGGGGTCCCTCCGGTGCGCGCGTTGCCCTTGTAGATCCCAGCTACTCGGGAGTCCTGATGCAGGAGAATCAACTTGAAATGCTGGGGTGGCGGAGGTTTGCAGTGACAGAGATCATCTGCCACTGGCACTCCAGCCTGGTGACAGAGTGAGGCGCGTGGTCTAAAAAAAAAAAAAAGAAAAAATTATGGGTTTTCTGGACATGAGTGCGGCTGGCCGTGTAAATCCGATGCTACTCAGGGAAGGGCTGAGGCCAGAGAAGTCTCGTATTAACGTCGCTGGTGACGGGGGGTGGATGTGTTGACCATAGGCGAGAGGGGCACGGCCGGACGTGCACGTCGCGGGCAAGCGCTGGGGGCAGACAGAGGCCAGGGATCTTCGTGTCGCCAAGGAAGAAGGGAAGGAGGAAGGCGGGTGTTGTCTCTCCGCAAATGCGGAATGTTGGACGCCAGCAGGTGGGTTACTATGTCTCGGCTAGAAATGTGGATTGTGATGAGAGGTGGAGGGAGTGGT